TGTCACAGTCCTCCATCCCTGTCCTCAGACACCATGCTTGTAAGTTCTCCAGCTGACAACACAATAAGGAATTCCAAAATGAGTTCTGACTTTTCTCCAGGACTCTACAGTTCCCTGCATAGAAAGGGGTCAATTAGGGACCAACAGGTCTTCTAAGGCACAGTGTAATGGATTGAAAAAAGTCTAGGGTAGGAGTCAATAAATCTAGAATTTTTCTTTTCTTTTCTAATCTCTTCCACTTGGTATAATGCTAAGAGTGTAGCCTCTGCAGTCAGATAGGCATTCCTGGCTGTACTGCAGTGAGCAAGTTATGTGGCCACTCTAAACCTCAGATTCACCATTTGTAAAATAGAATTTAGACATGTGGTAATATCTCCCTACAATCACTTTTACTAGGCAGTGGAGTGGCTAGTTGGACAGCTCTCCATTGATAGTCCAAGAAGACTTCAATTGATACATCCTTGAAGTAACTGGCACAGTGTAGGAATTCACAGTTAACATATTTAAAGTTTCATCATTCAGGCTTCTGGAGATCTTGGCAAGTTTTTAAGCTAGGAATTTCCTGACCCACCAGAGATAACCGGCAAAGGCAGAGATATCAGCTCACACTTAAAAAAAAAGTGGCTTGACATTATAGAGTCACCTGGGAAAATGCTAACACATGATAAAGTTAATTTGCTCAAGGTGGGCAACTGTTGTCAATAAAGATTGGTAAACTCAGTGGATTTTTAAAAAATTTTAAGTAGGAGATGATTTCACCTCCTCCATTGGAATATTTGATTTGTTCTTCAGGATTAAAGAGGCAGCTATGTCCTAATGTTCATTCAATTTTAGGATAACCACAAGGTTTCATGAATGTGAAATGCTAGTTACACAAATATGAAATGGTTCTGTGATGAGGATACTGGGCACATGATAGTCCCATAGGCGTTTCACCTGGGACCTTAGCTTTCCTTCTAGAACATCAGCAAACAGTTCAAAATTAATGTAGCACACCATGCAGTTTGCCATATCGCTACACTAGCCTGATAATTACATAAAACCTAATTAGTTAAAGGGCAATTCAAATGAAACTTTTATTTAGGGGATTTCTTTATTAAAGCAAAGCAAAGAAAAAACCAAACAAACACTTTGTAGTTCTCTGTATAGCATGACCGCAATTATTAATAACCCTTGGGTAGGAAAATGATTAAGCTTGTTATTTTCTTCACGATCCAGATTTCTACAGTAAATCAGTACTGCATAAAAATATTTGGATGCCGTATGGAAAACAACTTTTACAAGGTCTCCAACTGGCATAAAATGTTTTCAAGTATGAAAACATCTCTGGGCCTCCTCAACAGGCTGATAGATCCCTGCAGGTAGCACTTCCCTTGTTTAATGGTTTTGCCAATTAAATCAAATTAGAGATGATTTTTTAAACTCTGTGATGAAGGCACTGCTTATTATAAGATAAAACAGGAAAATCAGCTATTTCCCTTAAGTGAACTGTTGTTTAAATTTAGTAAGTTGGGGGTGGGGAACAGGCAAGGAATAGCCAAACACCTTCATCAATATTATATGCTTTATATAACATCAAGGCAGTCATTTGAAAGTAATTTAAGGAAATAATCTAGAGTCAGGTTCACAAAATGTTTACATCTCTTTTCTTTTGTTTGTATTCTATTTATTTCAAAACTCCAAGGGTTTTGAAATGGTCTTCCTTGATGTGATCTTCATTTTGTGGATGGTTTACCTTTAACCTCTGACTCATCTGTCATTCGCTTTTGTAAGAAGTGATAGTCACCCACACAAATGTATTTGCACATTAAGCCAATTCTTGCTGGTCTAATTATGCTTTTTATAATATACTGTTTAATATAATTTGTGTAATCATTTGCTTTTTAGGATCAAAGATTAGATGACATATATTAGAAGGTAAGGATCAGTTTATCACTTGAACAAAAACACCCACACCAAGCCAATATTACTTTGGATTATCAGCAGCAAAAAATGTTCACTTGGATAAAATTATGAATGTTTACTTATAAGTACATAATACATTTTATTAAAAAATGCAATCTGAAGGAATTCCTACCATATCAGGTAAAGTGAAAACATAGATCATAAGACTCAAAGGCTATCAGATTTATTTTGGGATTCATTAATTGTTGACAATATCACCAGTATTTTTTCAGCCATGGCCAAAGCATGTCAGAATGACTGAGTTCTAAGTCAAGTGCCCTTAGGACGATTGGGAAACCTACTCGTTAATAGATAGACAACAGCAGGTACGAATGATCTTAATGGGAAATTTGTTTCAAAAACATTTTTAGCAGATGATCAGAAAGGATGACCACTCTGTCCATTCATTTGAACCTTCATGTAGGCGTTGGCATTTTGAGATCTATACTGAAATTTATTAGGGCTCCAAAACCTATAATCACTGTGTATACAGCATATGTATGGAAACTGATGGTTACGTACATCAATAATCTACATCAATAATATACCTCATTTATTTTCCTTGAGATATACTGTGATAATCAGAGTCTCATGGGTGTTACATCTGTTATAATGGTATCTTTCTATGCAGTTAGTGAAATTATATTCATTTATTCCTTCTTTGGGGTAATGAAAAAAGCCCTGGCAAACTCCCATAACTTAGCTAAATATCTGAACAGCTTCCTCTACTCTGGCTTGCACCTCGAAAACCCCATTCCTGTGCCCTCTGAAACAGGCGGCAGTGACATCTACGTGTGAATTCTTGCCCTTTGCAGAGGAAAGGAATCCACGAATGCACACAACAAGCACCTTAGAAGCCCACAAAGAAGGAACTTTTGAATGCCATTAAAGCAGCCTAGAAGATACAATCATGTTTGATGGTTTTACTGTAAATCTCTTTACCTTAAAAGCCAGGCAACAGGCAAGCTAGTCATGTGTGATGTTGGGTGACCTCTGGAAGCTCTTACATCCTGCTTGCTGGAAATCTGAGAAAATACCCATTGCATTCTAAGCAGAACAGCCAGAGGCATATCGAAGGCAGGGTCTGAAATATCACTTTTAGTCAGAGGGTTTTTATTTGGAGTAAATTTTCCTAGGTTCTTGATAATAAACGTTTTTTCAAAGGCACAATGAAGCATCCTTTCAGGTCACCACTGATTTCAAAACAAAACAAAACAGAAATGTCTGGATTTGGTGTGTAAAAGGTCAACATCTGCTGATGCTCAGAGATGGGGGATGTGGTGGAGGCGGCCGAATGGGATGTCGAGTGAGCAGGACAGTTAGAGGGGCCATGCAACATACAACTGACACTCCAAACAGAGACACCCCAACGCCAAAGAACTACTTTTCCATCCATCCATTTCTGAAACTTCTGACAGGCCAGATCACGAGAGCAGCCTCAATAATCTGTGTCAGCTTGCTTCTGCTTGCTTCCCTGTGGCACTAAAATGCACGTGCAAATGCAACTGTAAGGCCTGAAAGGAGCACATTGTGGAGTATATATACAGTTTTAGGCAAATGCCAAGGGGCATGCTAAAGCAGAAAAATTAGACTGTTAGAGCCAAAGGTTTTCATTTGCAAGTTTGTAACACTGATACTGTTTCAACCAGATCACAAAGAGGATGCTGTAGCATCAGGCTGACTGATATCTCTAAATGGATGTGAACACTACTTCTATTTACAAAGTGGCCAATTTTCATGGCATTTACCACATCTAGTGCTTAAGAAATCAGTGTCCAGGCCTATTCACAAGCTCAAGTAAACAGGGTTGATTTATAAATTGGGAGACCTGACTGTGCATTTATAAGAAGCAGGAAGTTGCTTTATCCAGATTATCAGGGTATTGCTTTTTAGATGGATGCTGGGAATCACAATTATTCAATGGCTGTTTACACTGATCACAGTGCCTGGCACAGCACCTATACCTGTGAGGGGTGACACTACAGTGAAAATTCTCTCTACTTACCAGGCATAATCTTGCTAATAAATCAGTAATTTATTTCCAATCAGTTACTTAGCAGTTGTTGAAAGATTTTAGCCAGCAGAGACAAAGGGTGCAACATATATAAATATCTAAAATTTTGCTGTTTAAAGTTATTGGCCATTTTCTTAATGCAAATTTCAGGCCTGGTATGAGGGCACCATTATTTTCCCCATGAAGAAGGAGCTACACCTGGTTCTCCCATGACAGCAGGGAGAAAGTTCTTTGTAGTGACACTGGAGAAGTGTTCTACAGACGATTAAAGAGGGGTTTCTCTTCAATTGCTTAGATTCATACTAACAAATTTATTGCAGGAATTTCTAGTACTCTTATTCAAAAATTCTGCACATATTTTTTTATACTCTTTCTCTATCAAACTCAAAGCTAAGTAGTCAAGAAGACATAGATCATTGTATTTGAGAAGGGAGAAATTAATGCACGGATTCTCTTTTTCCTTTACCCTTCCAGAAAGACTAGTGATCACAAACTTGCCTCTTTCAGGCCTTCACAAAACTGAGAGTGTAAGGTGTTAACCAAATTCCCTCGCCTTGGTTTCATGGACTTTTTCTTGAGTTCTGGTGAATCCACCCAAGGCATGCATTGGCTTTCATTTTCTGCTTTTTAAAATTATGTTAGAAATCCAAATCCAGTCTAAGAGAGAGAGAGTTCAATTTGTTTGTTGGTTATTAAGTATGGAAAAATAGGACTACTTATATTTTTGCTAAATGATGATGATTGTCTAAGTAATTGCACCTCAGTTTAGGTAGCCCTCATTGGTGAAGAGTATTTCAGGAAAGCCATAGCCCTGCCACGTTCATGGAGTTATGCACAAATAATAATTTTATCTGTGTTCTCACCAGATCTGTGCAGAAAATCAATGCAAAAATGCAATTCATAAAGAAAATACCCTATCACATCAGAAATGGACACTGGGAAAATAGATCTGAGGAGCTGAACGACAAAGCAAAGCTAGCCTAGACTTGGTTTGGTGTTTTGTTGTTGTTGTTGTTGTTGTTGTTGTTGTTGTTTTACTTACTACCAATACTGGAAATACTGGGGATACCTGGAGAGAAAGAAAACAACAAAGAAAAGCTGTTAGCTAGTTATTAGTATATAACATCTTCAACTTAATATAAAAATCTTAGAAACTTGACACTTGATAACATTCAGACTATTAGGAAATTAGCACACGCAAAATCTGTGTGTATATATGTATGCATATACACATCACACACACACACACACACACACACACACACACACACACACACACACAAATTTCCAGCAACTACAACCATTCTGTTTTCATTCTAGAACTCCCGGGCTCATCAGAGTTGGGAAGTTAATACTCATTTCATTATCTGGTTCAAGTAAGCCTCATGACATCGAACATTAACCCTTAAGGTTAATGAACATTTGCATGTTGTTCAAAATAAGATAATAAACCAGGCTTATATAATGGGCACAGAGTACCAAATATACACTGTGTGGACCTTTGCAAATATATTCACGTATACAATAGACCTTTGAAAACGTGTTATGAGATGCATGTGTTAGCTGTTGAAAATCACTTGGCATTTTATTTGATTAATTTCATATAATCATCATTTTTATTCCTCTTTTACTTGTCAGATATGTGGATTAAACTCTGTAATAGAAACTTAATTGAGAGGAATAATTCAAGAATACATTAGGTTGTTCATATTGATCATGGACTTCATCGATTTTTCAGCTTTCATTTTAATTTACAAGTTGTGCTAAGGTAGTGGAGCCATTTCAGAATGTGGCTGGACTTGGTATAAATGTGAACATGAATTTAGTCTGTATCCGGATTCAAATTCCTAACTACACAATATAGTTCTGTGGCCAAGAGTCTGGGCTCAGAAATCAGGCTGTCTGAATCTGATGTTTGACTCCAACTCCTAAATTTGACCTTGTGGCAAGCTGCTTATCCTCAGTAGGTCAGTCTTTAAAAAACAACAACAACAACAAAAAAAAAACAAAAACAAAAAAAACCAAACAACAACAACAACAAAAAAACAAAACCTCTTAGGATTGTTGCAAGAGTTCTATAAACTGATAGATGTAAAGCACTCAGAGTATTGCTTGACAGGTAGTATGTACTAGATCTATCTTTGCTACGATTACTATTATTGTTATTGCTCATTCACCAAGCAACATTATGATAGATGCTGTTAATTAAAAGCCAGAGATTTACATCTTCACCACTAATTTGGGTAGCTGTGTGGGTGAGAGCATGTGATGGGAATCACACAGTACTCAGTGAGAATTCTGCTTTACTATTGCTTAGCTGGGTGATTTTAGACAAGTCTGCTGGCTTCTCTGCACTGTTTCCTCAACTAAAAAAGGGCTAGTAAGATCTGCATAGGGATGCCATGAGGATTGAATGAGATAATCCATAAAAATGTCTGACACATGGTTTGCAGCCAATAAATAATAGCTGTTAAAGAGTTGTTCAGACTTGTTCTTCATGTCGTTGAAGTATAGTAACAGGTGGTAACTGTAAAAATCATTAAGCTTCTATTTTAGTATTTATCTTTGAACAACAGCTCTTGATTTATTTTAACTAATCATGGTAGCTTGCTTGGAGATTTCTAGCTTTGTATTCTTTAAGACCAAGAACTATTTTCCTATTTTGTAGTGGGTAGGAGAGAATAAGAAATTAAGGGTTACTATGATTTTTTTAAAACCCTGGAAAGAATGAAGTCTGAATTTTAGTTATTAGAATCATAAAAAATATATTGATTTTAAATGCTCAGAGTTTGTAGTGCTTCAGCTTAATTGCTGATCAACTAAAATTGGAAATCCAAATTTCCATTTCCATGTTTTAACTCTATCCTATGAATTTCAAGCTGAATATGATTTCTGCAAAGGACTGCTGAATTCCTGACCTGACACTTCAATCGACTACCTTTGCTGCAGTGTGACAGTGACTTGGTACTGAATCTTTTTTTCTTTTGCAAATCCCCTGTTGAGTGAGGTATGATGGCAGCATCATAATTTTAGTATCAATTGCAGAAGTTCCAAATTTCCCCATGATTGAAAATACTGCTCCATTGCAAGGCATTGCTTGCCTCTTGTAATCCATCAAAAAGAATGGAAGTTGGAATGGCGGGAAGAGACTTCTCAAGTGTTTACAAACTTAAATGGCGCTAGAAGGCCAGGCATTATGCAAGGCAGAGCTCTCAGGGTGTTTGGCACGATACAATGAAGAATAAACTCACAAGAGTGTTTGATGCAGGACCTGCTGCAGCTGAGTACTTTAGAAAGATGCATAAATTTTTTCATTCCTTTGGGGATACCAGTGCAGGGAAGCAATGTTCATTCTAAGTACAAAAACCTCACCAAGTAAGGATATTAGGAGATTTTGTTTTTCTCATGAAGATGTTTTCTATTATCTAATGTTGGATGCTTAAAATTCAGGCTGTTCCTCATTTTGTGGCTTACAATTTTTTGAGATGCTGCCAGATGAGTCATTTTTTTTATTCCTCTGCTGTAAAATGGGAATCGCTTAGAAAAGATTTTTAAGCTGCTCATTTGAATAAAGACCTTTGAAGCTGAAAATATCTGAACACCAAGGGATGTCCACTAGCACATTTTAAAATATCATTATTTCTTCGAATGCTTCTTATTTTAATGTCCAAATACCTTGTTTTTCGTTCTCTGCAGATAACTTAAGAATTGAATAAACCCATAAATCCATTAAAAAGGCTACAAGTAAGCCAGGAGAACGTCCTCAAACACTCAAGGGAATAAGAGAGAGGCCTAGAAATGAACTGCAACAATTTATTTCATGAAAGGTGGGGTGTCTCTGGGGGTTTGTGATGAATGAATCAATGAATGCAATTCCATCTTATAACAAACAGTGACTGTACCTAAAAGTCACAGGAATGTGAGTCAGATTGTGCCCAGGAAAACTGTCTAGCCACATGTTGGCAGTTTTGTAACATTCTCTGTGAAGTGACAATTACCATGTAAAGAATATTATTACTTTTGAAACTGAGCTCCAAAGTCATTTCTCTCCTTCCTCCTCTGTATCCCTGATGTGAGTTAGCTACTCTCTCCTTTTGATGCCACAGCACTTTGCACATTGTAGAATGAGAACCTAGTAGATGAGAACCTCCATGATCAATGTATCCACTTGTTTTTGCATGTCTTAATTTGCTGAGGGCACAAGTTCCATGTCTTGTTCCTTTCTGTACCTGCTGTATCTGCCTGGGAAAGTGTCTGATTACATAAGAGTTGCTCAATGTACATTGGATCCAAAATGTACTACTCATTTCCATGAAAGTTTCTATCATTGTGAAAACATTGCTTTTAGTCAAAGTATGAGTTTATCCCCTATAAAATGTTCCACTGAGACATTTCTCAGAGTTCAGGATTAATGGACATTAATTATTAATATTAATAATAAATATTATCTTTGAACACATCCTCCATTCTTATAACAAGAGTTATGCAGTGGACAAATTCCTTTTACCACTTTGCCTTCTATGAAACTCAGAGCCCAGTTTGATACTCAACTGGGGAAACTGTTTAGCATTTAATGTCTGGCCTATTTCCTTTCTATTCCTTTTCTTGGATCTTCTGTTAAAATTTCATTTTTTGATACTCTTATTTGTATTTGTCTTTTTTCCTGACATACCCAGGGACGAGTGCAGACTTTGTGGGGCATAAAATGTGTACAATTCTGGGTCCTCTCCTTAAGAAATAGAACATAACATTAAACTATAAAATTAGCTATATATATATTTTTTAATTTAGAAGGAGTCAGTGAGGGATCCTGAAGTTTAAGCTCCATTAGCTTAAATTCGACTCCAGAACAACCGCAAAAATACTTGGGAAAGATAAAGAGATGATAGGTAAATTAAAAAGAAGGAAGGAAGATACTAGGTAAGTTAGTTCAGAAAGAGTGTTAAAAAAAATGAAAGCTGAAAGGGATTTAAGACCTCTCATTTAGCCCTATCATTTTATAGAAGAGGCATAAAGAGATTCCAGTGCCTTGTCCAAGTGCACCCTTTTAGAGTCAACATCGGAGCATGTAATTTCTAGTCCCTGTGTGAGATATTGCTAAGCTTGTGCTGAGGAAATGAAGCACAGGTGTGCATGTTTTTTTTTTTTTTTTTTTTTTTTCTTGAGACAGAGTCTAGTTATGTCACCCAGGCTGGAGTATAATGGCTCAATCTTCGCTCACTGAAACCTCCACTTTCCGGGTTCAAGTGATTCTCCAGCCTCAGCCTCCCAAGTAGCTGGGATTACAGGCACATGCCGACATGCCTGGCTAATTTTTGTATTTTTAGTAGAGACAGGGTTTCGTTGTCTTGATCAGGCTGGTCTCGAACTCCTGACCTTATGTGATCCACCCCCCCTTGCCCTCCCAAAGTGCTGGGATTATAGGTGGGAGCCACCACTGCTGACCTCGGTGCATGAGTTTTAACAGAAGTTTCTGCAATTAGTATTATGTTACCATTAATGCTTCTTCTAGAATCGAAATGTCACTTCAGCCACAGAAATACATATGTGTTGAGTAAGCCAAATGGCCATTATGCTACCGCATGATGAAAAAATGAGAAAGCACTTGCCTTGTAGGTAGTTGGAATTAATCTTTCCTCAATCAACCCTTCCTTCTCCCCTATTTATTTTAATGTCTGTTTTAAAGATATTCTGCTGCAATTAGGGGGATGAGATCCTAGTAGAATTACACAATACAATAATGTGATATTTTCTTTCTTTAAAATAATTTTACTACTCTCTCAACCAAGTAAATAGCTTAAGGGGACACAATTATGCTTAAGGAAGTCAAAATCATGAAGATCTCAAAAATAAATACCCTCATCTTCAGAAGCAGATTAATGCAGTCCTAAAAGCCGTAAATCCTTTTGAGAATCAATGGAAGATTCAGCAGTTTTTCATCAGGAAGGAAGCAGAAGGGATAAGGATTTGGCATGCTTCAAATTGAGGGGAAAAATTACTACTGTTGTGATAGATGGTTTCAAAAACCCATCAAGTAGGTAACTAGATCTTCTTATAGCCAGACTGCAG